CTCCCGCCTTCCTCCTTCGCTTTCCTCTTTCTCTTTGCTCGTGCGCCTTAATCCGTCGAGCATCCTCAGATCGGAGATAATCTTTCCTTCCCGCACCGGTCTGACGTCCGAGCCGATTTTTCTATTCCCCGTTAATTAATTGCTCGGTCGATTACTGGACGAAGGGGTGTCTGATTAGAGTCCGACACCTTCTACCGAATCGCGTCGTTAATTAAATATAAGATAAATAAACCACGGACCAATTATTATCATTAAAAATCGTTCAAGACCAGTCCGACATCCGGCGATTTCCAATAAAACAGTAATAAGATACATTATACATTCTAATTCATCGAGGACGATCAATTTCAAGAGATCGCGAGCTGCATTCAAATACAAGATAGTAGCAAGAGAGCGGCCGGAAACGGTGGTCGCAAGAAACGCGTCCGAGCAACGTTACACGGTTGCGTAGCCGCCATCTTTAATAACCTGTGAACGCCATACTGCTGGCTAAGCTTCTCTTTTTGTCATAAATGAGCGGCGACCGCGAGGTTAAACGGGTTGTCAGGTGTCCCCTCCGCCGACGGTAGCTGCTGCATAATTTTACGATCCCGCCGTAGTCGCGTGTGTTTGCCTCTCTGATCTCGTATCCGTGTGTTCGGCTATCCTGGACCCTGGTATGCCGTGCTAGTCGATCGGGAATAATCTCGTTTGGATTCTGTTTCACGATGGAGTTTATCGTGATCGATTCACTTGAATCTTCTCCAATATGTACTATTAAAAATATTTTTTCAAAATATTCCGCATCACCCTTAAACTACTTCTGTCGAGTATATCGTTTCTTTCACGATCAAACGAATCGCGACACGATCGTGGAGAAAGAAGAAAAAGGGATAGGGTTTGGTGAAACGATTTTTTGCCAGGATCACGGAAGTGTATAAACGAGGGAGAGAAAACAGGGGCGAGAAAGGTTCGGAGAGGAGAGTAGCCGGTCGATCGCGTAGCCATACGTCATCCTTGACGCAAGGAGTCAGCTGCTCCGCAATCCCCGTCGTCCTTCTTGCGCGAAGAAATCGCTCCTTCTTGCCGCTCACCGCTGGACACATCTTTTAGCTTGTACCGGCGACACCATCGGCTCGACCGACGCTGAAATCGCGTTCTCTCATCGATATGTATGGATGGACACGCCGATGGAATTTTAGTTGGTGTCGCCTCTCCCCGGGCACACGTACGACAAACAAATAAGTAGATCGAGGGGACGACGTGAAATAAGACCGACAGGATCGAAGGATCGATGAATGGCTCTCGAGAATCGAACGCGGCGACGTTGCTCGCGGGGGATTAATTCGAAATTTGTCCGCGTACAAATGGTGGGCAGGTTTAACTTTTGAATTGTTATTTACATTAAATTCGATGGAAAAGAGAATTTCAGAATGGGATATTAAAAATATGATCGAATAGCGTAAAAGTGCTCTGGAAACGTTGACGCAACAAAAGGATCGCGGTGAAACCGTGGCAACCGGTCGCGCGAACACTAAAGTCTCTCCGCGTGATTTATGAACCGTTGCCACTGTGATCCAGCTTGAATATAATTCCATGGCGAACCGTAACATTCGAACCGAGAACCACGCCGGATTTCAGCGCGAACCGAAAGATACATACGTTTCTTATGACATTTAAAACCTGGTACCATTCGCGCGGATGTAAAAACCAGCCACGAACTGGATCGTTATTTATATCGCTTCCTTAATAAACCCGGTTCCACGTCGTTCCTTTCCAGGGGTTCCTTTCCTCTTGAAAACAATGTATGGATACACCATTCCATTCGGAATGCAAAATTTTTCAAATTACCAAAAAATCTTCGATTCTCAAGGATTCGCCAAATAACGACGGAAGTCCTTGGAAGTGTAGGAAGGGTTAAGATCCCATGGGTCAGCTGAGTTCGCGATAACGCGATCGTGACTTCATAATCGCAAATCGAACTATCCGTCATTGTCAAGGCTCCGCTGGTGAACCGAGGACGGGCAAAAAGCCAACAGGCCGGCTGTAGCTCGCTGTGTAAACCAGACTCGCCGACGTGTATCACCGAACGGGGCAAAACAATTATAAATTATTTAATATGTCCCGTAGACTCGTGGGTCTCCCTAATTGTAAGGCAAAGGGGCCCAGGCAACCGGTGCCCTTTTTTCCCCTAACAGTGATGCCCCACCGTCTTCACCGAGGGCTTCCCCGTGCCTCTTCTTTCGCGTCTCCTTTTCTCTTTCGCTCGTCAATCGTTGTCCACCGTGTACCTCGCTCTCTCCTCCAGGGTATACGACTCGCTTTTTTCCTCGGCTCGTCTTATTCCTGGAGAATTACGAAGTCGAACGCGACGAAGAGAGAAGGAAGAGGAACGACAGGACGTTGAACCCGTCGAATAAATGCGAATCGATCCGATGATACGCTCGTAATTTAACTTCCATCGGTAAGATAAGCATCGGACAGACTCGGCGGGGAGAATGCAAATATTTTAATGACGGAAAAACGAAGACGGAGGATCAGATTTTTGCTCGGTATCCGCGGGATTTATTGGACCCTGGTCGCGCGTGGCCGACGTCGCCATGAATACAGAGATCTTCGATTACGATCGATTCAAATCGAGATGCATCTTATTTCACAAATATCGTAATTTTTCTTACAAGAATCCTATTATTTTAAACTTTAGATCACTCTGATTAGATCCTTCCCATTTAAATACTTTACTCTGTTTTTCCATTTCGAGGCATCTCGAGTTCTTTTCTATAATAGCCGAGCCATTATCTTTCTGATACGAGTCATTAACGACTGCCGACGATAATCAACGCGTTAAAGGACGCTCGGAACCTTGTTCGTCCGCTTCCTGGAACGTATCGCGACAAGCTGATCGTTCGCCATAACATTGAACGGGAATTCGTCGAGATTTCCCCATGCAAACTGGTAGCCGCAATTATGAAGTTGCACGGCACGAAGTCCGTGCGGATTGCTTTCTGCATTTTTCGCCGTAGAGATCGGGCGCGAAGGCAAGGCGAGGGGTGGAAAACGTGGCGCGATTTGCGCGGCGGAATGCGCACGGCACGACGCGGCAGTTGCAATCGCTGAAACTGCGACAACGAGCAACAGCACCGGAGAACCGTGGGAAGCAAAAAGTAGTTCGAGAAACCCGTACGAGGTACTACGATAGGTCGGTGTATATACGGGGCTATTCCAAGTGTAAGGAGGTGTCGTTCTATCCCTACTTAGAACCCGCCTACAGACCGGCCAGTTTATCATCGATTTCGTATTTATACCGGTATCCCGCCTTCTTCTACTTCTTCTTCTTCCTCTTCTTCTGCTTCTTCTTCTCCACGCTCGCCTCGTTTCGATGACATGTTATCCGGTTAGTCGACGGCTTCGAACTGAACGTGAATTGTAATCTTGTTATTTGTTGGGAATAGCATTCGTGGGAGGTAACTATAGTAAATCATTTTAAATCAGTAATGAGAATATTCTGTGCAAAATGCTTAATTTGTATTATTAAATGAATTTAAGGGAAATTTTGTTTGTGCCTGTTATTGAAATGCTGATTAAGCTGTAAAAGTGTAATAAAAGGAAGTAATCGTTTGATACGGAGCAGCCGCTTGAAAGTAGTTCAAACCCGTCGCTAACCAGACGAGGAGTCGCGAGTGCACTGGAATAAGACGGCGCGATGCATGAAAGAGGGAGGAGAGGTAGTGGGAGCGAAAGAAAGCGAGGAAAGAGCAGTAGGGAGATGCAGCAAGATGTTTCTGGACCAATGGTGAGGCTGCACCACCGTAACCGTATGCAAACTGCATCACCGCCTCCACCTCGCGTGCTCATCGAGTATGCAAAGTCCTTGCTACGTGCTCCGCCCATTTCTCCGTTCTTGCTACGGATTTCTATGTTGCACTCGTACCTAAACTCGAATGGCGATCCGCCGTGTTCCCAAACATTTCCGAGAATAAGGTTAAATAATAATTTGTACGCGGTTCAGGAGCTTGGGAATCATCGATGATTTATAATATAGTTTAGAATACCGTGTGATTCTGGTATATCTACGATAACCATAGAAGTCGTTCGTCATTTCCAACGAGCACGCTCGACATTCTCCGGCACGTAAGACGATATTAACATACAAAGGTGGTCACGAGGATAGGCACGATCCTTCATCGAGCGTAGAAACCGAGTAGACGACGTAAATCTCCACCCTCGGTACACTCGCGAACACGCGGCGCGCATTTAGGGAAACTAATGGCAAAAAGCGGCATAATAATTCCGAATCGATCTCGCTGCGGCAGCCCTTATCCCGCATGTATGTATACAGCAGGTAGGCATCTCGTGATCACGTCACTGAGATTCTCGTAAAGGTAAGGACGGGTTGAAAATCCATTATTAACCCGACTACGAGGGATCCGTAATAAACGTGGTTGGCTGCCTTCGAAACTAGAAGGCGGAGGCTCTGACGGTGGGAAAAAAGGACGGAGCAGAAGATAAGAAGAAAAAAAAAAAAAATAAAAAAATAAAAAAGGGAAATCCAGACGTGGAAAATCCAGACGACCAACGACGAGTACACGACCAATTCGAAATTTATGCGACAAGGGAATATCGATATTGAATTCATAATATCAAATAATTACAATTCTCGTTACCTCGAGGATCCGTCAGATGCTCGTAAAGCCGGGAAATTTTTCCCCGCGACCAGTATCGATGCGTGCAGGGCGGTCGTAAAGAAACCGCGTACCTGCGTAAATTTGTTGCCACGACCGATATGAAACAGTTTGCTTTATTTCATCGCCACGGTTTTAGTGGTAACCAACCGCGATATTAAGCAACCACCACGCGCGATCTAATATCCAAACTAATATCCCTGCTTTTACGACCACCGCGAGATTGAGGAGAAAAAATTAAGCAGCAAGAAAGTAGTGGTATATGAAAGATTATTAGAACGAGTTCAAGAGTAATTTCATTTTATTCGCGATTTTTATTCAAAGATTTTATTCATCTACTATAGGAATCGCAAGCAAAGTAGCGATTCGGACGGTAAGAATACCATTTCCGCGAGGAATTCAAAGACGAGGCGAGGGTGGTAGTTTCAGGAGTGAAAGACCGAGGGTTTATGGTGGTCGGTCGGCCGTTATCGGAGTTATACGGGCTACGGGGTGGTTGGTCACCGGTCCTCCAACAGATACCGACCACCCTCCAGACCAGTCTCTTCTCTCTTCCTCTTCCAACTGACTCTACATCCCCTATGTACTTTCTCTCTCTCTTTCACGGCGTAACAGTGTCACTGATAGCCTCACGTTGACCATTGATTATCAGCGAACGTCTGTAACAGATTCGTAAAGACGATGCAAGCCGAAAGTTTCTTCTTTTCTTGGCTCGAGCCGAGAGAAATCCGCGCGACGAAAAACGAAGGAAAGAGAAGTAGAAAGGGTTGGCGGGTTACGTCTGCTCGTTAAAGCGGCGAGATCGGTGTCGCGATTCTGGCGATCGAGCTGAGATTAATGGTCATCGCTGTCACTTAGCCTCTGAAAATCGAGATTTATCTCGTTACGCCGGCGAATCGTCTAATTGTTTAAGCCGAACGCTCGCTTCGAGCGTGAAACGGTTCGATTACCAAACTCCTTGATACGCTTTGCCTGCTACGCCCTCGCTCGTACTCTTCCTTGTTCCCTCGATCACCGATTAGCTTAATCGCCAGCTGAGAAAGCGAAAGTTGTCGCGAACGAAGGATCCTTTTCTTTTTCTTCGTCATTTGTTTGCACGTGCTTAGAAGAGTTTGATGTGTTTGCCTTTCTAACGGAATTTCCTCCTCTACGAAATGTCTCTGTAATTATCCTCCTTTCCTGTTTTTAACTCTGATGCAACTTCGTGGATGAAACATAGATGATACTTACACGGATTTCTTGTAGAAATTCGCAGAATCTGATTTGTTGCACTCTTTTTAGCGCACACTTCTACTGTGCCACTTGGTCGATGAATTCCTGTGTCTCTCCTTAGCTTCAGACAGGGAAACACATTAAAATATTTCATGAACTCTTCCAACAATCCTCAACTTAAATCATTTTCTCAGGCTACTAATTCATATGAGTAGCTAACTTCACCCGAATCCAACTACACAAATGATTAACGACTTCATTGTTTGAAAAACTTTCCCTTCTCTCTGTGCTCGGTCGTTCTGTGTAAAATTGATTTTCAGACGAAAAACGATTTGTTTTGCTGGTCGTCGGTTCGATTCAGCTGAACGGTGATAGAAGTAAGGAGTTACTAGGAAGGAAGCTGGTTAATGCGTGCATTATAAAAATGCGCCTCTAATTGATGAGAATTTACTAAAGCGTTGAGGCGAGAATTATGCAACGAAACGGTACGATGTAATTCGCCTATTGTTGGCTGTAGGAAAAATTAGACGGCGCGCGTACCTGTTTCCCATACTGGCTATGCATAACCAACCGAGATAACTTTATTACGAACGGTGCGATGTCAGCCCGATAGAGCCGGTTCGATCCGATAAGATCGCGATATCTCATCCGGATGTTTATTTCAAAGGCGGAATTACGAGTCTGGAGCTACGCCAGCCGTCGTAAATTTCACGAAGCGAGAAAAATGCCATGAATTCCTCTCTTTCTCTCATTTTTTTTTCCCCCTCTTTTTCCTCTCTGCTTCCTTCCTTTCTTCGTTTAACGTTCCACGTTGACAGGCTGGCTGCCGAAAAGTTCGATAATGGAAAATAGATCTGTCGCCTGGAACGGACCTTGTTTTTCCTTTTCCTTGCGAATTATTTGAAAATTTCTAGCAAGGCTACTTTTATTCGTATTCCTTTTCGAAACGCGATGGAGCAGCGTTTCGCTGTATCGCAAACAGTCGATTCGTATTTGCCAACCAGCCAGGACAAACGACTTTATTTCGTCGTCGTCGTCGTCGTCGTCGTTGTTGGGACGATGAAAAATGAGCGAAATCCACTTCTCGAGTCATTAATGTCGCGATATCTGTTTTACGGTGCCGCGTCTGAAATATAACTTCGCATGGTCGACTTGTCCCCGTGTACGGTTCAGTAACTTTTCCTTTATCCTACGAAACGCGGAAGTCGACTCGAATTCCTTTGCTCCTATTAGACGACGAGGACGATTCTCTTAGCGTCGTAAAGAGGAACGATTAGAGGCGAACCGTTTACCGGAGAATCTAACGGACAGTTTTCCTCGCGATATTTAATAAATACGCCGTCAACGTTCCTTCTTCGTTTCTTTGATCCTCGAGCTATCCACCTTGGAGAAAAACGTAGAACCAGTAGGTATCGTTTCTATCGATATTGAAATTCGCGAATTGAAAGACAGCCCGTATGTCGAGGACAAAATTGACAGAAGGAAAAAGGATACTGGAAGGAGAAAAGAATTTTCGAGGAGGAAGAAAAAGGAGGAAGGAGAGAACGTGACGCGAGTATTTCCTATTCTAGGAGGCAGTGCTTCGAGTGACGTTGTAGGGGTAGGAAAAGGGGGCGAAGAGGGTTGCCGACGAGGTGGGGTGTTGTACACCTCCGCGATCCATATTTTACAATATGGCCGGGGGGGTGGCTGGCAGGTTAGGGGTGGCCTATAGGCGGCACGCTGATGTACGCAGGTCTGCCAACGATTGGTCGATAGTAACGCGACGATTCTCTCCGACTTTCTCTTCCCTTCCATCTCCCTGTCTCTCCTCTTTCTTCCGCGAACGTGATTTACACGCGCGTAAGGGTGCGTGCGCCTCGCCGTATGCAGATACTTCGAGAAAACAAGCCCACCCCTTCGCCAACGATCCTCTCTCATCCCTCGACGATCAACCCTTGGAAACTCGGCCGACCTATCGCTCTTCTTCCTTCAATCGTTCAAGGGTGGATCTTTTTACATTCAGCGATGAAAACAAAAATGGCGGATCCGTATCGTATGAATAGCGGAGTTGTTTCGTATCCGAGTCGATAGAAATTTTTTCAAAATTCAACGATTATAGTATAAACTCATTAACTGTTCCGAACGCAACCCTCTCCGGTATCTACGCCTAGGAATTGAAAAGAGTGGGCAAGGAAAAGTTTCCTTTCCTTGGAAAACAATGAGAACGTCAAACAAAGGACCGTCGACTAGGTGCATTATGTCCTCTCGAACTCATAAGAAAACGGGACTTCGAAATAGTAATGATATTATGTTTGCGTCGATGCTGTTCCTGCCGAAAGAAAGCGGCAGGAAAAAAGAAAGCGCGAGAACGACCGCAGACGATCTAAACAGAGATGCGGGAGTAAGATCAAGGAGGAGAGAAGAATGATGGTTGAAGAGAAACAGAGAGGAAGAGAGAAGAGAGGGTTGCCGGTAGACGGGAGGGTAGATGGTAGGTGGGGGGATGAGGAGAGAGTGGAATCTTCCGACGTTACGGGAGGGTGAGGCGTAATATCCCGAGTAAAACTTTTCACTCAACGCGAGAATAGGGTTGGTTGGATGCGGGGTGGGTTAACTGGGTGGAGGTAAGAGGAGGAGGGGGATGCGGTGGAACGATGGACGTACGGCGGAAAGAAAAGAGGCAGGGGCCGACTAAGTACAAAGAATGTAATGTCCTCCTTCTAGCGGCCCGCTATACCTTTCACCGGATTTCACCCGGAGATGTCCCGTGGAATAATAAGGATAAGAATGCTGGAGAAAAAGAGTGGATGACCGGCTATCTAGCTGGTCGCGCGGTTTACGTGGCAGAATACGCGAGCGTCTAACTTCCTCGAGTAGTTGAACGCTGAGAAGGAGGACGAGAGAGATGCGAAAAGAAGGGAAATTGCGAAAATGGCTTGAGCTTCTTTGGAAAATCCAACTGGACAGGTTTGGGAAAGGAAAGAGGGGATTGGAAACTTTTAAACGATGAGTGATATTTCAAGAGGAAAATGAAATAATGTATTAATATGTTGACACCTTTAACCCTCGTGGATCTTTTACACGTGTCTTATTTCGAATTGCGATCGACCAATGGTCAGGCAACGGTAGACAGGGAAAACATGTAGCAATAGAAAAAGGCGAAAAGAAACCGGGTAGAGATTCAATGGTGAGACGGTGGGAGTCGGCCCATAAGCGAGTTCCATAAGGGACACCGTGAGAATTGGAACTGCGTATGCGCCACGGCGACAACGGGTCGGAGGAGCTCTCTCGACTAGGCTAGCCAGGAGAAAAACTCACCTTCATTATGCTACCGGCATCGTAATATAATGGTTAAAATCGCCGTAAATGGCCGCGACCGGCCGCCCGTACGCCCGTCTACGCGTGCATTATACCGCGTAAAGCACGCGCTCTCGTGCGTGAGACGCTGTGTGTGCACCGAGTGTTGCAGAAATGTGCGCGGCAGATTAGACCGACGCTTTTTATCCAAGACTTACTTATCGAGCGTTTTGCTGTCGACGTTGCTTGTCGTGGAAAGTGAACTTTGGCAATCCTGATTATTATGCCGAGATAGGGACAATAGAAAAACAGAGAGACCGGATTCCAAGTCCCGTGCGTCGCCGATCTTCCGGACGAATTCTTGGTATCTATAGGGTAGAATAGTGTCAGGAAGAGCCTGAAAATCGAGGATAAAAATTCCTCACGAAAATCTGAGTTGTTCTCCAGATAGATGGACCAAAGTTTAAGTCCAAATGTCATCTCCTGGTTCGGCTGGTCCAGAGGGAAGATGAAAGTCGAGACAAGAATTTACGATACCATTTTACGACATCCTTTATTAGCGGGAAAATGGTGACCGCGGCGGAGAACGGTAGGATAAATCGATGACAAATGAACGCGGTGCGGCACGCAAGTTGGACGCGAGAAGCGTGCAACGACGGAATGCAAACCTTGCTGATTGCGAAACGGGGAAAGTTAGGTGAACGAACAATCGAGCTCGTACTGCCGTTGTAACGTTAAATCATCCTCGTTAAGTCGCGAGACGAATCGAAGCTGAAATCTTGGGGTTAATAACCACGATCCATCGGTCGTTCCACTAATTTCACGCGGACGATTTCATGATTCATTCAACATTGCGACTTTCATCATTATAAAAGACGATATTGAAACCCACGGTCCTTCAAATCCCCATAAATATAACTCGTCGTATTCTATGGTGTGATTCAGAATTTCAGTTACCCTAATAAAAATTAATAACTTCAATGACCCGAGTGACAGTGAATGAGTTACAATTCAAGTCCGTTCGCGCCTATTAATCTGAAATCCTACCGAACCGTGAATAAAAGTCGATAACAAATAGCAACAGGATCAAATACGAAGCTGGCAGCATGTAAACGAAATGCAAATGTAATAAGTAGGTACGAGTCGGTTCGCGGGCAATGATTTCGCAAGCGTTAAAATTGCGAAAGTGTTCGATAGGAGCGGTGGCTCGCACTAATGTGGGAGAGCTATGTCAGAACCGTGGCGTGCCAGATCTCGACCGTCAAAGTCGCACAATCCGGCCTATCCGGATCATAAGCGGGCAGGTGGTTTGTCAGGAATGTCAGCGGACTCGTCGAGGCTAATAATCGAACAGCGACCGGCGGCTCGTTCTCCTGCCTCCTTTTCGTTTAAATAAGGAAACGTTCGGTCGAAAACGTTATTTTTCACAGTGACTTGTCGAAAGCAGAAGAAAGAAAACTGCTGGCAATTTATATTAGACATCCAGCGATTGTTTCGACCTGTTGGCATGATTTTTACCGCGGTGATGCAAGAGACATACTTTGACAATAAATACTTCACCCTGGCTGCGTTTTATCTATTTACACCGACTAACGAAGCATTTTCCTCCGGCATTGCTGCTACGATCAATCATTCGATAGAGTAGAATTATGGGCTCTAATGAAAACTTTTTTTTCAATCTTCCTTCTCACCGTAAGAATTGTTTATTCAAAAATTCCAAAGCGTTTTTTCACGGCGGTTTCATTGGGAAATGAAGAAACACCGTACTCATGCACGAGCACGCTCCGTGCCACGCGGCTAATCGCTCGCATACTCGCTCGAGCATCCGCGTGGCAAGTAATTGAGCAGGCCATTGCGAAGCGTGAAATGCTCAATCGTAAGTAAATTACAGGGTCTGGCTTATTGAATAACATGCTACATAAACGTGATGAATAATTAACCGGGGAATTATACGGGACCGGGAGCGTTCGCATCGTTTCTTATTCTGAAACGAGATGTGTTTTGGTATTGCTTTTGATCGTCGAAGAGTATCGGGGACGGTTGCATTCCACGGCGAGTCGTGACACGGTGACGTCACTTCCT